GAGATCCGGTTAAGTAAAATCTCAGATCAGACTTTAAACAGCGATTACGTAACTGATCGTGGTGGTTATGCTAGGGGTTAATTTCGGGGATTGCCCTGTAAAAAATAGATTCAGATATATGAGTGCCGTCAAGGGAAAACCCACATGCTGGCTTTCAATTATATTTTGTGTACAGTTAGTCGTCTATGGAAAATCTATCATGATGATAGATTTTCCATAGACGACTAATTGTACACAAAATATAATTAAAAGCCAGCATGTGGGTTTTCCCTTGACGGCACTCATATAAAATTAGGATACGATATTGTCATGCTAAACCACTTGAAAAAAAATTTTATCATCTATACTAATATTTTTTGACAATGTTAGTCATGATTTAAATATATTTTATTATATTTTAATATATACTAAAAAAAAAGAAGAGATAAGTGACACTGAATCAAGGTTTATAAAGACATAATGTATATGCAAAAATCTCAAATATAGTAAATAATAGATGTCATTCAGAATATAATTCTTCATTTATTACTAAATATACACCTGTTAAAACCATAAGACTTCTTGTGAAGTTCTATATATTTTTTATTCATCTAAGGTAAAAGAATCTATAGACATCTAGTGATGCAAGCGGCTCGAGCCGAGCTGTGAGCCTAGGTCTTCGTAAAGACCGGGATCGGACTGTAAAAGACTGAAGACCGAATAATTTTCGGTCCTCAGTCCTGAATAGTCCGGTCCTGGTCCTGATTATGGTCTGACGATTACTTACTGATAAAAAAATTTAAAAATAAAATGCAATAATAATAATAATAATAAATTATAATAAATTTTTACAACCCTTTTCGACCATGAGTGACGATGAAAATTTCTTCCTTCCATCTTCTGATATTTCCCAGTGTGCTGAAGGATATGATAGTGATTCTAATGAAATAAATGTTGATGTTATTGACGGCCGTAATAATCAAAAAATCAACAGTTTAGCTACACTTTAATATTGCAGTATTGAGGATAGTTAAACATCCATATACTTAACTATTCATGTTAAATTAGCTTCGCATATATAATATTTATATCCATATTTATGTGTGCTATATTTTTATGAAATAAATCTATTGAAAATTTGTTGCTAATTGATAAAAATTTGGTCCCTGATAAATAAAAATTTGACCGTTAATTAATGAACTAATAAATAAAAGTTTTAACGTTATGCATAAGTCGTGAGACCAATTCTGGGACTGAAAGACGGACTGACCGGACCAAAAAACATTATAAAATAGGTCCAGTAAGGACTGGGACCGACCGGGACGGACTGATCCATCTCTATGTGAGCCGAAGAGCCAAGCCGAGCCGACTTTCAGCCCAGCTATAGATCTACTAATAAAGCATCGGCTTGGCTTAAGACCTTGGAGCCGAATGTGGAGTCGCAAACCGATAGGTCTATAGCATATTACCGTAGCCAATATTAAATTATCCAATACCATGAGCTCATTATCTATTTAGTTGACTAGGTAATATAAATTCTTTGATAGTGCTTTTTAAAAACCATCTCTCTAAAAAAAGTGATCAAGATATTTTATGTCCGGATTTATTTTATATCCTGATTTATTTATTTATATTCGGATTTATATATCATATCCGGATTATATGAATCCGGACTTATTTAAGATTCGGATATAAATATATATCCGGATTCTACTACCTCTAAGGCTGACCACAATATCCTCTTTCTTCTAAAATCCGATTTTATGTTCCGCCACATACTAAATTATTTATGCTCAAAAAAGGTTACTGCACGAAGATTTTCTTATGATTCTATTCTATATTGAGCATAGTTCGAATAGTAATCGCTAGGTTTTAATAAAAAAAGGTTTGCTTGTAAAAACTTTATCTATCCACAATATTCCATCACCTTTACTTGTTAATCGCAGTATATATGAATATACAAAATTGATAAGATAAGCAAGTCGAAGTTGCAAAATGAAAATGAAAATTTAGAGCTTTGATACCAAATGTTTGTCCATTTTGTACGTATAACATATATTCAAAACGCATAAACAACTTCATTTATAAATAAAAAAAAAAAATTGGTAAACTTGCATAATAACTATATATAAACCATTGGAAATTAAGCATTTATCTTAATATATTTACAGTTCACTATATAATAATTATATAGTATCCTTTTGTTTCGACTGTTAAGGAATCGATTTAATCATCAATTCCTTGTTACGTATAAACAAAAAAAAAGCCTATTTACGGTGAATTGAAGCACAATAAATGACCAAATTCTATTTTTTTTTTTTTTTTTCTAAATATATAAAATAAACAGAACAAGGAGCAAATTGTTAAATTTACAATTCTGGAATTGATGGAATATTCTTTCTATGCAGCTTTATGAAATTTAAATTCCTTAAAAGATAAAAAAAAAAACCCCCCAAAATCGTACAAAAAAAAAAAAAAAAGAAAATAGTATAAAAAACGACCGAAATAAATAAATGAATAAGAAGGGCAATTGTACAGTACACAATTAGTACGTATCGGAAATAATTTTAGACTAATATTTGTTTAAAGGAAATTATTTCTGCCTACGTAGCACAATATTAATATTATATATGAGCGGATCATTCCGATCGGCTGCCGCTCATGCAGCTCATTCATCGTTTATAGAAAATTAACTATGATTCGGTGTGTCCACATTTTTGCAAATAGCGAAGATGTCAGAAGTAGGGTCGATTTTCCTTCACGTGATTAATAAAATGGTATATATGCATGCGAAGACATGGCCGAGGACGCTATGCCCCGAACTTTTCTACATTAAATAATAGTAAAGTCGATCGTGTCAATAAGTGGTAGGTGTGCATATTAAAAAATCTTCCATTGGTAAAATGCTTGTATCACAAAAACATTTTTGTGTCTAACAATAATAAATAATTTTCCAAAAACTAACAAATTTTTTCCTCACGTCTTTTTTTTTCTTTCTAAAAGAGATGTTTATTAATATTATTGATGATATCAATAGATCGATTAGTAGTGTTTAGTTTAAAATTTGATTAATGCTAATATTTCGTCTATAACGCATATATAATAAATAATAATAAAGGTTAATTATTCGGTATCTTTAAAACCTTTAAAGTTACTTATAACAAAAATAATATGGGCGCTGTTCTCAAAAAACCGTCTTCTGATTCCGTTCATACAACGCCCTCAATAACATCGCCCACTCTTAGGCGATCCATAAATTCTTTCATGAGTCTTGACTATGATTTCTGTCGTCGAACTTACTGGCTATGTTCCGAATGCGGAAATCCGAGAACTGGTTACAGCTGGTGTCAATCCTGCGAAGCCAACCGTTTCGAATCTGAATTTCCGCATTGGACTAGCGGTAACATTGATATTGATGATTTTATAAGGCAATCACAGAAAAATGCTTATACTGCTCAAGATTATTTGGAATGGATACCTTACGAAAGTTTTGTGGATGTCAAATATTTTGCTAGTGGTGGATATGGAAATGTGTACACAGCTTATTGGAAAGAAGGACCAAGGTGGGCGTGGAATGAACAAAAGATGGAGAGGGTAAGAACGGGTCCAAGAAAAGTGGTATTGAAAAGTTTGGTTAATTCACAAGATATTACATTGGATTTTTTGAACGAGGTAATTTTTAAATAACAAAATTTTTAAATTTATCGTTATAATTTAAAAAAAAATTTTTTTAATATCTCTTAATATAGTTAGCATTACACCATATCTGTAATGCAGATGGTCATGTAATATTCTGTTACGGTGTCTCTCAAGATCCAATCACTAAAAACTATTTACTCGTAATGGATTACGCTAAAAGTTTTTACAAACATGTAATTAAACCTTCACAACATATATCATGGAAAAAAAAATTAGAGATACTTTACGATCTTATAATAGCCCTTTCTTCGTTACACAACAAAAATATAATTCATAGAAATTTTCATCCGGGTAATATATTTTTGGATACCAAACATTCAGGATTTACTCGTATTTCAGATATAGGTCAATATTTTCCGCCGAATAAATCTTATGACAATAATGGTATATATGGTGTTTTACCATATATTCCACCTGAAATATTATTAGGATCTGATTATTCGACAGCGTCGGATATATACTGCTTTGGAATGATCATGTGGAGCATTTCTACTGGAAAACGCCCTTTTGAGGATAGACCACATGACCAAACATTAGCCTTGGATATTTGTAATAATTTGAGACCTAAAGCTGTAAAAGGAACTCCACCATCATATGTTAAATTAATGAAACGATGTTGGGATTCGAGTCCAGATAGACGTCCGGATTCAACTGTGGTTGCAGATATTTTGGAAGACTGGTTAGATCAATTAATGAACGACAATAATAATGAATCGACGATTCGGAAAGAGTTCTCGACGGCTGAAGAGCATAGAAAAAAAGGTAATGGATCAGTGCCATCACCGACGGTACATCCACTGTCTATATATACGAGTAGATTATTGGAGTTTCCAAACTTAAGTGAAGAATTCAGTAAATCATAATAGAATAGTATAGGTTTATTTGCATTTATTAATTTCATTTTTAATATTAGTTCAATGAAATACTAATAGAATATTAAAATATTAAACTAGTGCATTATTGACATATTTTCTATAACGAATTTGTCCGTTAAATTTTTTTTTTTTTTAGCTTTTTCGAATTTCAAGTTTCACATTTTTTTTTTTTTTTTTA